AATAAGCCATTTATGTGTTTCTGACTTTTTAATTTAAATCATAGACCTGTTTTGTTTCCAAACGTTATTGATTCAAACAAATCTTTAACAGCATCAGACAATATTTCAGCGTACAATATGTAATTTCTGCCGCTATATGGTCTCGCACATAGAAACCACCACAAAAAACTCTCATAAAGTAGTGTTGGATCATGGAAGTTGTTGTCTTTAGCACTATTTCCGTCAACTTCTCGGTTAGAATTCCTTCAGTGTTCCTTGCTCAGGAGTTTTTTTTACTGGGAGTTATCTGAATTATCTGGAGTCCTAAACAAACCAACAGTTGCTCGTCTTGTTTCTCTAAAACTTAAGATCCAGATGTCCAATGACCAAAATCCTTCATCTGTTTATAAAATATAGTTAGAAACGACGAGCTCTAAAAAGTTTATCGTGAAAATGTGGCACATTCTTGATAAAAATAACATTCATAATAGCTTCTGACAGCCAACCAGCATATGACACCATTGACAGGCGACCAGTGAAACACACCGTTACTAGTAATTGATTACATTAAACTTAGAGATTTCTCTAACATTGTTGGAAACATTTGGGATAATGTAAGTACACAACTTATACAGAAAATATATGACAGGTTTAGTGTTAATAGACATTTTAATGTAGAAATGTTACATATTATAGCTTTAAATTTAGCTTTAGTTGTTTTCTTGTGTTACTATAAGATAAAGTAGAACTTTACTTCTCCCAGAGGATGTTTTTGGCGTGATAGCAGATTCCAATCTGTTTCGAATTTGTAACATGTGCCTTTTATCATCTCCCAATAATACTACAGTGTGTTATATGCCTTATCTAAATGAGGGCAGCTTATATAAAGAATATGTCTCTTCTTCTGGGGAACCAAACATCAAGAATTTCAAGCCTGTCAGCACTTGCATACCAACATGTTACAGTGGGCACAGTAACTGTACTGTAGCTAAGATAACTATCTCAGTGCATGTCTTCAACAACATAAAAAAACAACTTTGGAGTCGCTGAATTAGATCATTCCGGTAGGATATTATATATCGACACCCCTTTCAGTATTGTAAAGTTGTCCTCTGTGCATTCTTTTATCAGACTACCAAAGGCAGAAGGAGAGGACTGTACATTAGGTGGCAGCAAAGCGAGGGAGAGATGTGCACAGACGCTTCTCTGCACGTCATTACCCACCTCCCACAGACTCTGGCCTCCATTCTGTCTCAGCTTCAAGATGACTGATGTATGACTAACAGACTCATTCAAAGTGTTCCATGTAAGGACAATACATACTCTGTCGTAGACTCGCTTTCCTCTCTCAGGCAGAAGTCTGAGCACTCCCTAATCTACTGCGATACGTGTTGATTTCTGTTCCATCAGAATGCGTTCACAGGAAGTGAAGGAAGCAGAAGCTTCAACATTTTACACGATTCATTATGTAACTGATAAATATTTTTTAGTCATGCATTTATAGTTCAGCATTTATACAGCCTGCATAATTTATGAACTTTTCCTCAAGCCCTAATTAGATGTTTCTACTGTAGTCTTAGAATATATATTTTAATCAAGTACAGAGTAGCAAACATGTGTACTGTACACATTTGCCTTGATGACACTGATAAATATACATACACTCAGTTTCCAGTTTATTAGGTACACCTAGTTAAAATGAATGCGGTACAATACATCAGCCTGTCAGTAAATCCTTCCATCTTGACAGTTCAGTTTTTGTTGAACCTGTTTTAAAAACTTTGACAGAATAAGGGTGGACTAAATGTTAGAAATACACCTAACAGAGTGCTACAAACACCTGAAGGTAGGATCTGTTACTGTGGTATGCGTTAGTTTTAGCTAGATTTACCTTATGAACTGGCAACTGAGTGTATATACATGTACAAAATGTACACTTGACATGGATTTCAGTACACACTGACACATATGGTACAGACTGCTGGGCTTTACACATCGTAAGAGCAAATACAATTTAAATATCACTGATCTAAACATCACTGTGAATATATTGCAGATCCTGTTTTTAAATATTTACGACCATTTTTTAATCGTGTAGGAAATATTAAGTTGTGTAAATACATTTCAGTGACTGCTGTTGGGGACGCATTAATGTTAAGTATTGATTTTGTTCATGTTTCATACACTAGTTTAACAGAAACTGCACGCTGAATGATATTGTAGTTATTTAATGTGTAAACTGAGGTGCCAAACTTCCAACATTGCATACGTGCATAACAGCACACTGCGCCCTGTATATTGGTAGAGTCTGTAATGGAATCTGTGTGCAGTGGAGAATCTGATGTTAGCAGGATTTCGTTGCAACTGAAGACTTTATCAGGTACTTCTGTCATTTTAGCCTCTGTGGTTCAGGTTGTGTTTATCAGTACAATCAGCAGAAACAAGCTTTGGCCATAAAATCCACATTCATTAGAACAGTTATAGAAAACAGCTGAACACTGCTGGATGTTACTGCTAGTATACGCTAAATATATTAGTTTTTATTAGTTTTGGTGAGACCTGTGTAAACACCTGCCTGCTGCATCTCAACACTGTCTTATTTTATTGTACTCGACTAACTTTCATACAAAGGAGTAACTTTTGGTTTTCCATCTGATAAACTTTAAAGATGTAAGTGTTAAGACACTGATAAGGTAGACAAAATAAAATGTTTTGAACCTTAGTTACCTTTTTGTCTTTGTTGTTGAAGAACCTGAACCAGAGCTGGAAATTGACACAGTTTGCTCTGGTACAAGTAGACAAACTTGTTCCGCTTTGTTCATTGGTTTCTCTTGAAACTGACTTGTCATCTTAAGAAGAATGCAGTCAATAACAGTGATTAGTGAAAGCATGTTAACCATGCAAGGTTTATTTTTTTAGAAAAAGTCAAGACCATGTAACATTCTCAACATTACAAAAAACAAACTAAAACCCTGCAGGGTTTCATTCCAGGGTCTTTTCTCCACAATGACTTCATTTGAGCTTAACTTCAAATAAATAAATAAAATAAAAGATATCCCTTATGGTCATTCCAATCCTTCAATTGACAAAATGCAAACTTGCTTTGTACATTTTACATGTTAATACAACCTAACTAGATTTTCATTCTCAGAAATCCACAACTGATTCCCTCCTTGAGTGCCAATGCAAGTCTAAGGTCTGTACAGCTTATTAATTAGGATTAGATCGCATAAACTTAGATTGCACAACATCTAAATAATACAATGAACCTTCCAACAGTCTTCATGTATCACACAGTAAAGAGAGAAATACAGCACAGTTGCTCACTAATCATGACTTAATAAAATTAATGGTTAAAGTTCACATTTAAAAACAGAATCAGTAGCAAATGTAGTGGTTGTGAAGTGCATTTAAGCCAAAAATATGTATTTCTGGAACAACAGATTGGAGGTTGACACCCGGAGCTGCTGCACAAACCCAGAACCTTTAACAGTGTAACAAGCCATGTTAATGCCATTTAACTAAAATAAAAAGAGACTATTTTAAGAGTGTCCAGTTTGGGCTAAGATTATCTTGTAATGAGCAATTCATTTATAAAAACCATGAGTGAACTTGGTGTCAGAAATACATAATGTCACTTCACTCTGCTTTCACCACTGATCTTATTTCCATTCACAGTCACTTGTACAGGCGAAGACCGACTAGTGGACAACTACGCTTCATTTCCTCACTTAAAATGTGTAAAGCTGCAAATAAAATAAAAATAAAAATAGGCCTGACAGAGGACATATTATAAATGTAGTGCTGTATAAATGACACATTCAAACCCCAACACCTCTAAGCCTTTACACGGTAAAAAAACAAACACTGGAGACATGTTCAGCTTAGTTCAACATGAGGTGAATGGCAACTTGATCTGTGCTAATCTCTGTCTGATAAGGCAGCTGTAAACACTTCATGCTCATCCAAAAAGGTATGCTGATTTGGAAAACTGGATAAATCAGAGAGCCGAGCTCTCGAGTCTTATTGGATTTGTCAGTATGTGTATTCCACCCCCCATAATTTCTCCCTCACGGATACCCTTCATCCCGCCACTTTTAACTGCTGTCCTCGCTGTCCGGACCTTCCACCTTGGATCTCTCATTTACGTTTTCTAGCGAGTCTGCTCTCTGTATTGACAGTTCGGCGGGGTCCATCATGGGCAGGGTGTTCTGCTCTGGGTACAACCAGGGCTTCTGGTCGGGAGAGTTCTTCTGTTTCCACTCTGGGTAGTTCTGTCCCGCCTTATGCACACACCTCATCACCTGGAAGGAGTGGGCCAAGAGAAGATACGATTATCAGAGGGCCGATAATGCCGAACAAAGAGGATCGTACCACACCTTCATTCACAGTCAACAAAGCTGAAGATAAAGGTGGTCACAAAATACTGGGTTACAGATGATGTGGCAAGCAGTTACACAAGACTACACTATTTACAGCTCTGACACGGCCATTCACATTTTAACACATGCCTTTACATTCTCAAGTGTAAAATGGTGATCTTGCCGTACATACGACCCTGATGTCGAACCAAACTGACTGAATTTTATAGTTTTTATCTGCCATCAGTAGTTCTCTAGTCTAGAGCTGAAACAATAAGTCGACTAATTGATCAACAAAACATTAAATCTGCGACCGTTTTGATAGTTTAATAATCTTTTAAGAAAATTTACAAGGAAAAATGCCCAGAAAAAAATCTGGTTTTTGCCTCGTAAAAATGTAAATATGTGCTGTGGTTTTTTTTAGCCTTCTCTGATAGTAAACTGAATATGTTGAGGTTCTGTGCCGTCAAAACAAGAAAATAATAATAATCGACAATGAAAATCAAAAGCCGCTCAGATTTAAGCACTCCTCCTGCAGGAACCTAGCAAGACACCACAAGACTCAAGAACAACCTGCTCTAAACTGCTAAAATACACTTTGTTCGGTGTGTTTTGTTCATTGCTATTTGGAGGATCACAGCCTGGCTGAAATCTTTTAAATTAACTACACGTATTTATGCGAATTAATTTCACCCTTCTTTTGATTTTACTGCTTATTAGTTTACATTTGGTTTTGTAGTTTTATTTTACTCTTCTAAAATGATTAAAGGTGCTCTACAAATAAAGATTACATTATTATTATTAATTTAATTTTCAATGTTTACTACGCATTATTGCCATCCAATGGTTCAGTTGATAGAAATCACTGTTACGGTGTGAAGAAGGTGAATGTTCCCTCCAAACTGTTCCTCTCCACACAGATCCTACACACCACACACACACACACACACCACTACACCCACACACACACACACTGATATCTGTGGAGGATATGAAACCTGGGGAACAAGTTCTGCAGCAGGAGAGAGCGCTCGAGCTAAGATACTCTTTGTCAGCAATCTTACCAGGACAGGCTCTTAAATTGGGTTTCTATGGTTACCATTGTCCTCTAAAGACATGTGAAACCTCACTCCCTTATGCGCGCACACACCCCTATTAAACACTTTTTAAAACACCTAATGGACACACACACACACACGCCCACACTGTCATACACACTGATACACAGTTCATGTGGTTTTAACCTTTTGGTGCTGCTGTTGACTAGAAGTAAACAAAGCTTTTAGTGAAAAGAGTTAGTGACAACAGTTGTGTGTTACTTTACATACCCGTGGAGCGAGAACTTGAGTCGCCGTGTTTACCACAACCTTTGGAAGAGAACCTGGGGCACAAGAGACAAACTTTAGAAACGGCTCTCCAAATGTTCAGCGACAATTCTTGATTCGGTTATGGTCTTACCTTTGGGGTCAGCTTGTGAAAGGTATATGAAAGTACAGCTGTTAGGTCCTGTGGGCTTGATGAAATAGCCAGTGAGGATGGAAATTGCCCTCACGAGGTCTCTGCGAGGAGGGTATTTCTGAAGTTTGTAGAATAATGAGAAAAATAACACTTAACATTTTGCACTTTGGACATGTGACACTTGTTAAGACAAATGTAAAGATGTTAAATAGCGGTTGCAAAAACAAAATGCTAGCAAAACATTAAGACAATAGGTGAGGTTTGAGGTTGCTGTGTGCCTGGGAGTGTGTGGAGGAGGTGGCGTACCGGGTGTTTGACTGAGAAGTTAACGATAATGTACTCGTCTTCCATCACCTGCCACGAACGCAGACTCACTACATCTCTGTTCTTTACTGGGTTTGGACAAAGCCCTGCACACAAAGAGAGAGAGAGGAGGGGGGGTAAAAAGACCTATAAAATCAGGTTTCATTGTGTAAGACTTCCTTCATTACTTCAGGTTTCCACTGTCACAACCTGAGACTCAACAAGTGCACCCTTGTTATGACAATAAACACAGTGGTGGAACAACTGGCCGCTCATTCTTCATCCCTGAGGGCTTCAGCAGCTTACGAGAGTGACGGCAGAAGAAACAACTGGTTTAAATGTGTAAATATAGACAGTAGAGCTTGCTGATGGGAAAATAATAGATAATAATGTTCGTTTATATTTCAGTATCTTCACTATAACTCAAAATAAAAGGTCAATTTGACACTATTTGCAAACTTTACAGCACTTTTAAATACACTGATTTAATTGTTATTGCTTCAATAATTTGCTCAATAAATGGTATTTTAGTGATGCCCTGTATTGAAATACTGAGATTCTTCCATACAGGGTGGTATAAAATAATATCTAATAATAATAATAACAATAACAATAATAATAATAACAATAATAGAAACATAACTCTAAATGGACACTTTGCAGTGTTTGTATTTCTTGTGTGTGACAGGTGAAACTGAGTGGGCCTACAGGTGACACACACACACACACACAGAGGAATGTGATAAGACTGATCAGATAAAGAGTTCTTACATGAGTAGTAGCCCACATCAGCATTAGCAGAGACTCGGGCAATGTCAAAGCTCTCCAACATGGTGGGGTCCCACTCCTTACGGTACCGGCTATCATGAAGGACGTCGTACATGGTGGCAGCTGATACATCTTTGATTGTCATTTTACACTGAAACACACACACACACACCCAACAAAGTGTCAGAAAACACAAGTCAAGTGTGTCACAGTGGTGATTGTGTGTAAAGATAGTGTGAAGTTAAAATGGACTTACCTTGATCTTGTGGATTTTCGGTGCATTTTTGACTTTCTTTGCAGGGACTTCGACCCACACTTGCATCCCATTACTGTCATACTTGTTTACCCAGTTGTCCGTTGCTAAACACTGCTTTCTGAAGTCGGCAAACACCGCATCATCAGGTAAAATAGACATCTTAAAGATATTCCTCAAAAGAAGTCACACACGGTCCAGTATATGTGTGTGTCGGACTGAAGAGAGTCAATATTTCTGTACTTTGTAGGCGCCCTTATTATATATCCAAGCTGGCCACCGGGCAGGTCGAGCGGGATTTTTGCCATTCCTATACACGCCTCTCCCTCTGACGTCAAAGCACTTCCTGTATCCAGGTGTGTTACGGCAGGTGCGTAAAGCCCCGCCCTCGCAGAAACTACCAGAAAGGTAAATGTATTGACATTTAAAGTATCATAGAGCTGAAACTGATACCAGAGGAGATTTAGGAGTTCAGAAAGAAAAGCGCTGTTGGAGTTTTATCGTCGGAAAGTGTGAAAGATACAAACAAGGTTGCACTGAAGTGGAGTGGGTAGGTGCGAATTGCTCAGTGGTGATGAATCCAGAGTATCCATCACGACTGTAAATGTTAAACAAGTACACAAACGATAAGCCATGAGTGAAATATGAATATGTAAGATTGGATGTGTCCTCCTGACTGGGTCCACAGTTGGGTCAAAAGTTGGTACTAATTCAATCTTAAGGTCTATTTCATGTCATACCTTCTTAAATCATAATGGAGATTGATCTTCCCTTGGGTGTTTGTAGATATGTGGTTGTTTTATTTGAATAAAATCATAGCAATATAATAAGGCCTATGTCATCAAATGAGAATATGATAAACAAAAACAAAAACTACTATTACTACCACTAACTTAGTGTTAGGAAATGTGGAATTCAATACAATTCATACAAAAATATATAGTTATTTTACTTAACACTTTTTTCTTTTCCAGCCAAATGTAGAAAACACACACACACATACATATTCAAGTACTGTAGGAGA